ATATGACAGAAAAAGTCATTCACCCAATAAGCTCCTTTTTGATGGAGGCAGCAAGAGATGACCTCTATGCATTCATCTCAATCAAGAAAAGGTTGCCTGAGACGACTTTTGCAGCTCCAGCTACTCACGACATTCATGTAAAATTCAAGTCACATGTCTGTGATTTGATCGAACGTGAGCAGCTAGGTCTCTTGAAGATTGATGAAGTTCCCATGGGTGTTCGTATCCACAATGAGCTCAGATTTTTCGTCTATGGAACTTTGTGGCACATACTTTCAAAGAGTGTCACCGACATCCCAGAAGAGTCTGTTGGTATGCGTGGCGCAGAAATTGCAGCAGCTCTGAAGAACGGAAGATACATTGCTGAATTTGATGGAGTCCAATATTTGTACGTTGATGCAATCATGAGGTTAGCTGACTTGACATGTGTCAATGATTTAGCAGGCAAATTTGAAGCAGCGAAAGCAAATGATGTCAGTTTTTCAATTCATGATTACGTCACAGGTGAATTGAAAGAGATCAAGGCAGGGTCAGGTAAAAGAATGACAGGATCCTTGACTCGAGTCTCAAGGAAGATTCAGTCACACAGGAGCGGAATCGGCATGACCAAGTAGGCTGGCAACCCACTGTGACGCAAGGTCGTTCGCCCATCCGCATCAACAGATTGTATGAGAAGATTAGTCGTCTTCTTCAGACTGATGTTCACATCCTGTTGTTGTCTCATGATCTCAAAGCATGGAGTGAATCAGAATCAAGGTTCCACGTCAGGTCATGGGAAAAGCAATTCATGAGCTATTTCAAGCCACATGATGCGGATGCATCAGCCACTGAGCATATCTGGAACAATATGCACTTGCGTGTTGACAGGGAGAAAATTGTCCTTGAGACGCCTTGGCGCGACAGCATGATGCAAGGACAAGAAGGCTTTGGATCCTCTATGAGGCATGGGCATATCATTGCAAGATTTTTTCGCAGATTGAATGCCGAATTTCCAGATATAGTGTCATCTCATGCCCAATCTTTGACGAACATTGACGACATCCTCTTTGCCTTGTTCTACAGAGGGGGTCTCGCCAAAAATGATGCTGCAAAGATTTTTGCACTGCTTGAGAGAACATACATTGAACTCGGATACACTGTTGACCGGACCAAATCAGTCTTGAGTTCAAACAAGTTCATCTATCTTTCCAGATATTTTGCTCAGGGGATTGAGATACTCATGCCTTTGAAAGTTGTCATCAGATCGGCACTGCTATACAAAAACTCGCTTCCTGATGTCATTTCAAACTTGGAAGCCATTTCTGGAATCTGCAGGGCAATTGAAAGGCAAGCAGGCACTGCATTGACGATGTCATCTTATTACATTGTCAGATGCACTGAGGAAGTGGCAAATCTCATCGGCAAAGATCCTGAAACTTTTCCGAACGTCACAGCTGCAGGAATTGTCATGGCTATCCCTTATTGTTTTGGTGGCCTTGCAGTGAAGGACTTTGCTTCATGTGCACGTGGGGGTTCAAAAGTCAGCAGTCTGGAAATCTGTGAAGTGCTTGATGCAGGCATAGCACTGAGTCAACAAGTCATGTATACAATGAAGTCAGCAAAAACTAGACGACGAGTGGCCCGAAAGCATTTTTCATCACGTAGGAAGTCAGAGTGCGAGTTATCTGTTAAGTGTGTTATAAGTGTTCAGTGTGAAGTGTTAAGTCGAGTGTGTTGAGGCAGTGTGTGGGTCTCTGTGTGTGTGTATCTATGTCTGTGTGTGTATGTGTTCTCGAAAGTCACCTCCGCGTAGTAAAGTTGTACTACAAAGTCGCCAGTTCTCATCTTCCAGCTCCACAGATTGCTCCGTGTACTAAAGTTCTACTACCAAGTCGCCAGTTCTCATCTTCCAGCTCCCCAGATACTCCGCGTACTCAAGTTGTACTACCAAGTCGCCAGTTCTCATCTTCCAGCTCCCCGGATACTCCGCGTACTAATGTTGTACTACCAAGTCACCAGTTCTCATCTTCCCACTCCCCAGATACTCCGCATACTAAAGTTGTACTACCAAGTCGCCAGTTCTCATCTTCCAGCTCCCCAGCTACTCCGCGTACTACAGTTGTAGTACTTAAAGTCGCCAGTGCTCATCTTCCAGCTCCACAGATTGCTCCGCGTACTCAAGTTGTACTAGAAAGTCGCCAGTTCTCAGTTTCCAGCTCCCCGGCTACTCCGCGTACCAAAGTTGTACTACAAAGTCGCCAGTTCTCAGCTCCCAGCTCCACAGATTTCTCCGCGTACTAAAGTTGTACTAGAAAGTCGCCAGTTCTCAGCTTCCAGCTCCCCAGCTACTCCGCGTACTAAAGTTGTACTACAAAGTCGCCAGTGCTCATCTTCCAGCTCTCCAGATACTCTGCGTACTAAAGTTGTACTACAAAGTCGCCAGTTCTCAGCTCCCAGCTCCACAGATTGCTCCGCGTACTAAAGTTGTACTAGAAAGTCGCCAGTTCTCAGCTTCCAGCTCCCCAGCTACTCTGCGTACTAAAGTTGTACTACAAAGTCGCCAGTTCTCAGCTTCCAGCTCCACAGATTGCTTTCGCGCGCTCGACACGCACGATCTCCGCAGAGGGTTGCGCGCACAGCCGGCAAATCGCACTCTCGCCTGCATTTCGCGCACTCGACACGCACGATCTCCGCAGAGGGTTGCGCGCGGACCGGACAAATCGCACTCTCGCCTGCATTTCGCGCACTCCACACGCACGATCTCCGCAGAGGGTTGCACTTTCGGTTGACGCTGTTCGTCCCACACTCCGCCTTTAAGAGAGAATTTATAAAGTGGGGAAATGTTTTTTCATTAGGACATCTCCCGTGCTAGTTTTTCCATATTTTCCATACTCACACTTGCCTTTGCATAGTCATTGCATGCTTGCATACTCACACTTGCATACTTTGACCCTGGCATACTTCGCACTTGGATGCTTTCGCCCTGGCATACTTCGCACTTGGATGCTTTCGCTCTTCCAGTGTGTGTGTGTGTGTCAGTGTGAGTGTCGAAGTGTAAGTGTGTCAGTGTGAGTGTCGAAGTGTAAGTGTCGAAGTGTCAGTGTTCAAAGGATTTTCCGGAAGAACCCTTCGCAATGCTTTCGGGAATAATGTTATTGAATGCTGAAATCCGGCCATTGAGCAAATGGGCATTTATGCACAACTGCGTGGAACCTGCACTCACGCTCATCCCATGGGGAAAACAGTTCTTGCGAAAAGCATGTCACGACCATATGGTTGCATTCCTCAACAGGGAAAACTGGTCATCCTCCACGCCAAATGAGATGCTGCAAGAAGAGATGGCAGAATCGATGATGAGTGTTGAAGGTATAGAACCTTACACAGCCATGGCAGTCATGAATGCAATCCCTGCATCTTATGAAAATGAACTGTTGGAGGGGAAAGCTCAAGCTATTCGGGGCTGTTTGGACTATCGTGAACGCTTGCACCTGGTGAGGACTGCACGTAGCATTGACACAAAAGCTTTCAGAACCATGTGTGGCACATTGTGTATGCAGCGTGAAATTGAAAGTTCAGGGATGTTGAGTGATCTTTCTTTTGCTGAATTACATACTTCTAAAGTTATTGAACTACACTCACAGATGGGCTGTAAAATGCAATTCCAGCCTACACAGGGTCCTTTTTCTATTCTACATTTGAGCGCTTCAGATGGCAGGAAGATGGCTTCATTGACTGCTGCCTGCAATCAAATTCACAACCCACTGGAATGTGACCGCGATGATTGTCAAATGATCGGCGCCCGTTTTGGACAGAAGTTTGACGTGATTCCATCAACTGTTAGGAATTCACTTGAGTTGGACAATCATCACTTGGACCCGTATCAGCGGAGGATCCTGAATGCTATGATTGCAATTGCAGAAGAAGGTGTCAGAACAGGCAGTTTCAACCCATATGAAGGCTTCATGACTGCAGTCTTTGGATTTGACAGCAATCTTGGCTTTTTCATCAGGCGGATTGCACAACTGATCAAGGAGTCATCGCGTAAAAGATCCACAGTCACGCCCACAGCAAAAGGTTACTCAACAAATGGAACCTGCAACATTTTCTTAAACTCGAACTGCCACATGCATGAAGAATGGACTCCACTCCGCAGCATATCGCACACGCTCGACTTCAGGGAAGTTGATTTCACATTGAGGCACATGATTGCAATCATCACACAAGAAACATTCTGTGCTGCAGATTTCAACAAAGCACTGTTGTCTTTAAAGCGCTTGAGATGGAATGTCAGATTCGATATCAAGAACTTATGGCCCTGGTTCCACCTTATGCTCCTGCAGAATCAGATTGGTCAAGAATAGGTCAGGCATGGAACAATACTTTCGATGACAATCTAGTGCAACTTGCAAATTCATTATTCTCGGGAGAGGATTCAATATTGCAAGATTGGTTTCGCACTGTGTCACCTGAACGGTTCTTGAGGAACATGGAAGAAATCGCTACAGGATCAGAGAACTTCAATTCAGCTGTCAAAGTTGCAGATTTTCTTGTAACCCACATTGAGCATGACATCCCCGGGCTGACAAGTTCCACTTTCAAAGCTTCAGTCAGAATTTTGTACACGAAATGCTCATTGGATGACGTGATGGCATTGCAACGCATTGCACGGGTGTTGTCAAAGCAGGCTAGGGTTCCATCTGGAACCATTCTTGAAGTTTTCTTGGGCTTTGTCAAGCTCTTTTCAAGTGGGGTGAATCTGAAGAACCTCATCATGGCTTTGAGGTTGAACACTGAACAGGAAATTGATGCTGGTATTGAAGCAGCGAGAAAGTGCATAGAAGCGTTTGATTCTCCTTGGCCCCTTGCTTTGAGCTGTCTGTTACACGTAGGGGGATGCATTGAGAAGAGTTATTTGTCAACAACAGCGTGTTCTATGGAGAGCCAAAGATCATGTGAGTCGAGTGAAAAGGGCAAAACTGTGGCATGATTTAGCTAGATACGCTTTCAGACATCTAGCTCCAATGAATCTACAACGTGAAGCTTTGGATTTTCTCAATGCCTTTGATGTACCAGCTCAGTACAATACTGCCTTTGAGGAGACTCACGATATGGTTATGAAGATTTTGAGAGCAAATGTGCGCAAGATTTGTGAGTCGACACAGGAAAATCTCAATTGGCTAATGCAACAACAGAGCTTCGGTGATATGATTGACATCATTGAAGTCAGCATGGACAAGAATTTCGCAGCATCTCTGAGGCATGTCTGGGCGGCTATCAAAGACATAGCTGTGATTTATGGCACATATGCTTCACTGGTCTGTTTCACCATCGACATAAACAGCATAGATGAGCCCATGACGACACCTGATGTTTCTTTAATGCGGAAAGCTCTGAATGACAAATTGGCTGAGCAGCGGGCTTCAGATGAAGCAGATGTCCTGAGGATGATCCAAAATATCCCAGAAGAAGAAGATGGAGATGATGCTTTGAATTTGCTTCTGTCCAATGAAATTATCGAAGGTGAACATTCAGAATCTGATAACGACCAAGAAATGCTGCAAGCGAAAGACAGTGATATGCCAGCTAGTTTTCTGCAAATGAAGCAGTCACAGATTACTCCAACCTGAAGCAAGCCACTGCACCATGTATCACAGATATGAAGATAAAGATAAAAGTAAGTATATGAACAGATAACTGCATTTAACATTATCCTGTATGAAAAACTCTGAATGAATGTTTTTCAGATTCTTATGAACATCATTTATGTTATATTTGCATCAAAGTGTTCTCATAAACATGAGAGGGCTCGAGCTCGCTAGGTTTGCCTAGAATTTTCGTTTGCCCCACGTGTTTTCGGACACGACCTGTCGCCGTGCGCCACGGTCACCTGCGTGGCATCGGGCCCTGCGAAAGAAGCGTCATCATGCACGTCTTCTTCTCCACAGGGTGAGGTGTAGAAAGCGGATCAGGAAATTGCTGCTTTCGAGAGCTCATAAAGCTAAGGCCCTTCTGGAGTCACACGACTCTGCCCCGAGGTACTGCATTCCCTTGTTGGAAAGCTCCAAGATGCCATGGCAGAAGTGGCGGAACCAGGGCAAGGGTCAGCAATGGAGCGACTGGGAGAAACCCTCGAAGAAGGGAAAAGACAAAGAAGAGAAAGGTGGCAAGCAGCCCATCTTGTATGGCTGGGACGGCAAGAAGATCGAGGTAAAGCGAGATGGAGGTGCAAAGCCGGGCTCATCCTCGGGATCCTCGCATTCGGAAGCTGCCTTGCGGGAAGAGAACCGCAAAATCAAGGAGGTTGTGAGGAATCTCCTTGGGAGCGAGACGCAGTCAGAGGCGGATATCCAGGCTTTGAGGGACTTTGCCAAGGTGGATCCACGAGAGGATTTGAAGGAAAGGCAACGCCTCCTCAATTCGGAGAGGCGCTCCCTGAACAAGACGGCCAAGATCAGGGAGGTCATCGACGAGCAAGAGGCCAACTTTCAGAGCTGGCAGGAGACATACAAGGCTGGACTCGAGCAAGAAGAGAAGCGATACCAGGCAAAGATGGCCGAGCTCCGAGAGGAGTTGAAGGCAGCGGAAAAGGGGGAGATGGAGGATCCAGTGCCTGGGAGTATGGACGATGGGCAAGAAAGTGCGCAGGACCTGCCGGTATATGTGCAGCAGGAACTGGCCGATTTGCGAGGCCAAATGCGACAGTTCATGAGCTATGCCCAGATGATGGAGAAGAAGAATGCTGCCTTGACAGACCAAGTGACCATGTTGGTCACAACGCTTCAGAGCAGAGAGCAGCAGATCTCTTCGGATTTCTCGCCACAACACCCGGTTCGACGCTCAGGCAATGGAAATGCCTTGTGGGTTCCTTCGAAAGAAGAGGATGCGACATCCGTGGAGAAGAGGGAGAGGTCGCGATCGCCCACAAGGAAGATAGCCAAGCTCGAGCACAAGTTGGATCCAGTGGAGTTCAAATTGCAGCTGGAGAAGATCTCAGAGGGTTCTCAGGTGGAGGTCTTGAATGCTGTCCATGGAGACCCGGTCCAATATGCCACGATGGAGGCGGTGCTGCCTTTGATCCAGAAGGCAATGGAAGCAGAGGCCAAGAAGGGTTTGAATGCCCCTCATGCTCTCCCCGAAGTGGGCAGTTCAGCGCTTGTGCCCTTCGGAAAGAAGACAAAGCCTGGCGCAGCAGAGAGGCAGAATGTCAGCCCATATGGCAGAGTTCGCACCAAGGAGAAGGATGGATCTTGTGTCTTGGAAGGATTGGATTCCTAAAAAGGCTTTGGTCTTTCCTCAACTCTGACATGGTAGGAGGGTGCGCCATTTTTCAAGGCTGCAGCCCACTTTGTCAATTGTATGGTGCCTATGAAATACATGGGTTCTCCCTGTCTTTCTTTGGGGTTGAGATAGGGAAATGGAATTGTTTTGTGGACATTTGCCGTTTGATCGTCGAATGTATCACATATACCAGAGAGCAAGTGACTGGGCGTGCTTGGGACTTGGGAGAGGGTGTGCAGCGTATTCTACGTGTCCCAAGCTATGATTCGTGCATTCGGGCATGTATAAAGCTTGGAATTTCGGGGGGTGTGAATGTTGGCCTTTTAGAGGCCATCCCATCGGGTGCTGAGAAGACATGGGGAATAGCTCTGTTTCAGTGCCTGTGTCAGATCAATTTGGCTGGCAAATTGTGCTTGATTTGCATCTACGTTCGATACCGATACAGTGATAGAATTTACCTTCCAGCGAAAAGCTTCGCAGTGCAGGGTAGGCGATTCCCTCCATCAAGAGCTATCCGTAGTGGAGTTAGGTGGAAAGGAGTCTTCTTCTTACTGAATTGCGTTTGTGCACAATGCACGCCTTTTCTCGGAACTGGTGTGCTTCAGGCCATTAATGCCAGCCAGACAGGTGTGCAACCTGAGGCAGTGCCTACCTACCAGAGTTCGCACTGCTACGGAACAGATTGTCCCTCTCGACCTTGTGGGGACCATGACTGTGATCTGCCTTTTGAACTAAGGCACGAATGTCCTCCCTTATTGCTATCTAGATCCTGGTTCACAAGTACAGGTATAGGAAGCATAGGGGCCGCTCTTGCTGATCCTGGCAATCGAGCTAAGTGGCATGTACCGAATTTTGGTCCACATTTTGAGGTTCTTGTAGGCACCAGACCTATCAGTCCTGCTAGTGGTGACATTTTCGAGTCAGATGAAGGGGGCTCTTTGATGCAGATGCCGCCTGTCAGTGATGAATTGGCTGAATATATACTTCAAGCTTATGGGGTTGGTCGTTTGAGGGTCTTCAGTTGGGTCCATTTTTGGAATCAGAGAAACCAGTGGGCCTTCTTGCAACGTGATTTGAGTATCAGTGTCACTCGCTCTGTCAGGGATCAGTTGACAAGTGCATGGCGGGACTATCAAGTCAGTGCAAATGTGCTGATTGTGCCTGTTCGACCAGCTCTGCTTGGCTCGCCGGCTTTTTTGCTTGTGCCTGTGCTGCCCGAGAACTACATTGTCGTGCTTGGAAGGGTTTTGACACCGGATAGGCAATGGACTGGGACTTTCCTGTTTGGGCCCTTTCGTGACTGGCATGTTTCTGATCTATTCATGCTAGCTCTCCCGACAAATCTATGTGTGTGGCAGAATGACTGTACGCTTACAGTCGGCACAACATCTTATGATTGGTGGTCGAGATTGATGATTTACGAGGGTGCATATGTCACCTTTGAAGAAGTTGAGAGGCCGGGGGTTGATTGCTCCTCTACTGAAGGTGGCTCTGATTGGACCAATAGCTCATCAGAGGGGGACAGTACCTGGCCTGAGGGGGATGTGAACTCAGATGACCTCACGCTCCTTCAAACCGGAGATAACACTGCAACTCAACACAGTGATGATGATGATGCTGTCTTTATGCAAACTCCATGGCAACAACAATTTGACGTTGAAGATGCAGAGGGGATCGACTTCCTAAATGCTGGAGGTACGGACCAAATCCGGGAAGGTCCCATGTATGGTGATATGCTGCAAATAGGAATGGATCAGACACGCTATGGCGACTCGCTGCAGGTATTTTTACGACATAGACTGGCCATTGGGAGCAGGCCCTTTTTTACTGCATATCTGTGGTACGTGGAGGAGATGGTTGCAGCATTTGCTGATGTGTGTGTCCTTCATCAGGACAGATCATATACTGTCTCTTTCCTGTCAACGATGTCCAGTCATGTGGAAGATCAGCCATTCTGGGTGTCTCTCACTATACCTCAGCCCCCACCGCTGACACTGAGAGTTTTCCCGTTGATCTGGTTGTTCTGAATGAGGCACAATATCGGCGAGCGAATCGCATCTACCTGATTGATGTGCTTTTTCCTGGCAGTCCCAAAAGGGTTGCTGTACTCTATGAAGCAAATGATCGTCTGCGGGACCTTCTCTTCAAGATTGGGCTAGCTGAGATCTGTATTTCCACCCATCAGTCGTGTGTCCTCGAAAGTGCACCTGAAGCCAGCAGGATATGGACACATTTAGATGAGGTGGATTGTGTACATGGATCAAGTTTCACGCTCACTTTTCAGCAGAAGGAAGATATTTGCCAGACACCAATTGTGCATGAAATGGATCATGCACATCTCATGCAGGTTTCTGTTCCTCGCCTGGGGCGGTGGACCTATCGAATTGCCGATTACCTCCGTAGATTTCCCCAATCTGATGGAGTGCTATACGTGTGGCTTCATGATTCGCATAGACAGCATGATTTCTGCACAAATTTTAGACGATATGGAAGATCCTCGCAGCAAGATGATATGGCCTGGTTGCGTGTCTTCAACCTACAAGAGATGCAAGGAGAGGGGACATCATTTGTTGAAATTGATCCACCACCGGTCTATAGGAACCTGCCAAGGCTACATTTGATTGTATTTAGGTCGACTGCGAGGAGTATTACGCCTGTCTTGGTCGAGGCGACATTCCGAGAGACGGTACTCCTGGGATCTATGCTGCTATGGTCGGAAAGTGGAAGCTTTCAAGTTGAAACGTTATTCAATCTTGCTCTGCCTGGGCACGACTGCCGTGGGATGTCTGATTGTTATGCAATTGTCCGGGGATGGAACTTGCTTGTCAGTCATGATGTTGTGCTCTTCAGTGGCGACTTCATACGTATCAGTGAGTGGCCAAATACTCCGGACTCGCTCGCTGATGATTCAACTTGCCTTGACAGTCTAGCTACAACACTTTCTGAGCCAGATATGGCAGATTCTTGGTCCTCGACCCCTTCTACTCAGGAACGTGCAGAGATTGCTAGTGACCGTGCCTTATCAAATGACGGAGATAACACTGCAACTCCGCTATGGGATCTTCATGTGGGAGCCACAGAAACGCCGGAACCGGCCCAAGATGACACTCTGAGTCTCTTCCAGCCAATCCTACAGCAGCGTGACACTAGCCTCGGAAGCCCGGTGATGACACGGCCACCGGAAGATATGCAGGGGGAAGTTCAGCAGGCATGGCTGTGGGGTCGATCGGTAGAGCTTACGAGACGATCTACTAAAATCTGGGGCTTTGATACGCTGAGGCAGAGGCTTTGGCCTATCAAGCGGCCAGAGGGGTTTGGCCCGATGTCATACTGACTGGCCTCCTTTATGATGAAGTACAACACTGGGAGGTCATATTAGACTCAGAATTTGACTTCACCTTGGCGAGCTTCCTTGTGGAAATGAGAAACACAGTGGATCCGCCGCTTGCGATGGGGCAACTATTGATGCTCGCTGTGGTTAAACCCATACCAACAGTGGAGGAGCAACAGGGACGTGATGGCATCTATGTCCTTGCTGGTGTGAATCTACAAGAGAATGACGTCCTAGCCATGGTGGCAATCTGGGATATGAGGTCTGATGTTACTGTGGACATGCACCCGATGATCCTGCCAACCAGGATTCACTCTGAACTACTTCTGCAGTTGCTTGGACTTGATAACAGATGCCAAATCTCTTTCCTTGTGTGTCATATTTCATACGATGGACATGAACTGCCTCACTTCATTCCATGGCAAACCCTCAATGGGATGAAGATCGTGATTCAAATTCGTATTAAGCAGTGTTTTCATGGCATCGACAATTGGTGCCTTGGGCGATATACTGGTGCAAGCACAGAGGAGGACTCTGTGACTTTCATGCAGTCGCACCTGCGGCGCTTCTGGGATGATGGATGTGGTCCCAATTCGCATCAGCGTCTGGCTAGATGTAGTGACATGGAGCTGTCCTGGATATAGTCCCTGTGCGACTATCTCAGACACACATGCACCAGGTGTGGAAGTACACTGGTCGTGATGTCCTTAAAGATCATTTTGTTGCGCAGGGCATCATCTCTGAGCGGCTCCACCTACACGGATGGATTTTTCATGAACATGAGCAAGATCTTGGTGTCTCATTTTCGTGGGGTTTCCACTCCAACTCCCCCTGGTCCATGCAAACGGGGCACTTCCTAAAGGGCACTAGTCTTCTTGATGCACTCATGTATACGGTAGTGCCGCAGCCCGTAATGGTGCGCCCGATTGTCGAGTTCCCAAGTCAAATGCATGTCCTGGTACCCTCAGATATTGAGGAACGTGCTCGGCATCTTTTGGTGCTTGAGTATTCGTTTTCGGTGCTGCTTGAACGCCTTGCTGTCAGATGCGACCGGCCGTGCACGGTACGTGAACTGTTTCGAAAAATTAGGTCTGAATACTTATGTGGGAGTCCCTTCAGGTGTCAGGCTGCATATCGACATGGTTCATGCCAGGTGATTTTCTACGATGACCAGGAGATCAAGCTACCTTTTGCTTCGTTGGTTCTGCTGGAAGTACTGAAAGTGCCGACTCTCCCCTGTGAAAGTTTCCAACCGGTGACTGCGGAGCAAATCGAGGTGTCGCGGATTGCGAGCACAGTCGTCGAGGCTGGGTCTGCTGGGCATGAACGGATTGTTCAGCAGGTACAAAATGTGTTGAGTCACCAACAAATGGAGAGTGCTCTTGCGGCAGATGATGTGACTGATCTCATGCAACGCTCTTTGTCGTCGCCACCTGTGACTCTCAGTACGAGATCCGCGGAAGTCTCGAGCATCTCGGGTAGCGTTCAAGTGCCGTTTGCCCTCCGCAGTTCGCACCAGGCTACGATGTACTATACATCGATGTCATACCTTTGGGAATACTGGAGAAGTTGCCCTTGGTACAGCACACGGGAAGAATTATACATTCTCTGTGTGATGCGACATGTTGGTGGCACTACGTCTTCTGCCCAATACTGTCCGATTGAT